TACAGTATGCTTCGTTCGGTTACGTGACTGCACTAAGTGGGAGGCAAAATGGAATATACTTGAAACCTAGTAGGGATGTTGGTAGGCTCATGTGGGGGAGAGGCCTCCTAGAAAAAGAAGGATGTGATAAAGAGTAGAAAGGGAAAAGATCACGTTAAACAAATCTTGATGTATATTATTTATTACTACTCATCATATTTTGAACATATGGTCATGGAATGTAAATGGTCTAAGAGATGTGAAAGTTTGAACAAGTATTAGCACTTATCAACGTCACATGTAGACATAGCATTTCTACAAGGAGGCTACCAGGATGAAATTTTGTCCAATAACTATAAGCATATATTTCCCCGGAAAAATCTTATTTTACGAAAATTCCGAAGCAAAGGGAATTATGCGTCCACTTGGGGGTGTAGCTATTTTGGTATCATAAAACTGTAATACCAAATTAACATGGTAACAGGGAGATTCTGAGGGCAGACTATTAGAAGCAGAAGTTGATGTGGATGGTAAAACATATTACTTACTGAATGTATATGCTCCTAATGTAGCCTCGATGAAGGTTAACATTTTATAAAGAACTGGAAAAGTGGATAGAGACCAAATAATATGATTGGCCGGAGGAGATTTTAATGATATACTAAATCCTACGTTGGACAAAGAGACAAACAACAAAACATTTAATCTTAAAAGCAGTTGATGCTCTGGCTTCTATCATTCAACAGCATAGCATGGTTGACGTTTGGAACACAAAATTATGATAAAGGGAATTCTCAAGAATCAAAGTGTAAATGGTGTTTAAAACAATGAAATCCAAATTTGATTTTTTTTTTTTTCTTTTGTCTAGACACCTTTTAAACAATACCATAAATTGTTATATTAAATGCAAGATAAGTGATCACAACATTGTGTCCACTTAAACTTGATTTAATTGATATCGAAAGAGGGTCCCTGGAATTTGGATTTTTAATAGTAGGCTTTTGGAAGATGGGTATATTTTTATAAAAATTCATAGCATTGTTGAGGAAGCTCAAACTTATCCACTTTTGAAACAGAACCACTCATCTGGTGGGACAACTTGAAAATCAAATGAAAAAAGTTCTCAAAATATTATTCTAGTAAACGAAGCAGAAGTAAGAAGTTGGCAAGACTGATTATTACAAAACTCAAAATAAACTTCAGAAATGAATATCACAAATTATGGCTACTATACCTGGTTATGGATACACAACTGTGTGATTTAGAAAGAAAATGGAAGATTATGACAATATTACTTGCGAGGGGTGCTATTTAAAGATCAAAGCACAATTGACTCTTGAGTCAGATCGATGCACTTCATATTTTTTGAATTTGGAAAAATCCAAATTAACAAGCTAACTCGATCAAAGAGCTCATTGCTGAAGATGGAACATTGTTGTTGACGACGGAAGACTATTTGTAAACGCTGCACAATCTTTTCTATGAAAAAGTTATACACAAATGAAGCACTTGATTATTATAAGGAACTAGGAAGTTGTAAATATGATACACAAATCTATCAATGATGAACAGAAAGAATATTGTGATCTTCCTATTTCTGTAGAGACAAATGACAGATGCACTGAAAGGAATGAAACGTAACAAAACTCAACAGGTCCTGATGGTCTGACTGTTGAATTTTACCTGAGGTTTTGCGGAGAATTTTATCCTCTTTTTCATCATGTCACTAAAGAGTATTTTGAAGAGAAGGAATTATCTCGTTCTATGAAAGCTAAGCGTCATTACGGTTTGTTCTATATAAAAAAGGTGATAAAAAGGATATAAAATGTTACAGACCTATTTCACTAATTAATGTTGATTGTAAATTAATATCCCGCACATTGTCATTAAGACTAAAGTCTGTATTGTCAGATATTATCTCCCTGAACATAAAGCATGTTGTGTACCTGGGAGAGACATTGCACTAATAATTTACATTCTTTGAGAGATATAGTTGATATTGTTGATCCTTGTGAGAGAAGATGAGGATGCGTTTTGATCAAAATAGATCAAAGAGAAAGCTTTTGACAGAGTTTCACACAGTTACATCGTTAGATATTTTACAGAAATTCAATTTTGGGATCATTTTATAACTTGGGTAAAATTTTATATACAGACATTAAAAGTTCTGTCAAGTGTAATGGACATTTAAAATTCATATTTCAAATTATCACGTGGGAGTAAAGGCAGGGAGATCCAGTGAGCTCGATGTTAATTTGTTCTTATATCCAAACCATTAAATTTGTTGATAAAACACAACCCTCTCATTCAAGGTATCAAAATAAAAAACATTTCATCTTTAATCTATCAACAATGCTGATGACACCACAAAATACTGTATCTCAAAATGTGAGCTCTACTGCTGAATCTTTTCGCACAGTCAACCTTATATTGTTTGTGGGCAACGGGTGCCAAAATCAACATTGAAAAAATCTAGAAATTTTGTTATTGAGGCAAAAATAGGTTTCATTGATTTTTTTAATCAACTCCCGGTTAAAGTTAAGAGATTGTATAGAAATACTAGGCATTTACTTTGGTACCGGATAAAACACTGTGTGAAACACCAAATTGGGAAAAGAAAATACTAAAATACAAATGCTATTAAATTCTTGGCTTCGAAGACAACTGATTCTTTACAAGGCAGAGCCATTGTAATAAATGTACTTATAAGCTCCTCGCTTGTGGTATATATGTTTACTGTAATACCCTGTTCCACAGTGGGTTGAAAATAAATTTGCTCAGATGTTTTAGGAAGTTTTTGTGGCGCACAATAAGACTGCCAAAATAGCATTTGATAACTTGCGATGGTGTTTGTGTTGTTGATGGAGGTTTAAATCTTCCAAGCTTACGCTGCTTAAAAAAAAAGTATGCATTGAGGCTAAAATTGTTGAGAGCTTTCGTCCAATGGGGCCAGCTCAGCTCGTATTTGGAAAACAAACCATGGAATATTTTATATGTCTCATCTCCTGACAATGAACTTGGGGGTTTCATGCCTTATCTCTTGAATATGATAAGTCTTACTTACAGAATATGTAAGCCCTTTTTTATGCTGAGCTTTTCAAGCTGCATGGAATACAAAATTAATGAAGGAAAAGACTCATTACTTCATAATAAAATGGATATAATGAGATCAATCACTGTTTAAAAATCCACTGATTACATTTTAATGGAAAAACTCTCATGTTTCAATCCCGTTCATTTCAAATTAGGATTATTTGTATTAAACATATTTGCTTTGAAATCATTCCTAAATTCATTGTCTAGAACAAATTATTGAGAAAATAGTCCATGACACCTTACCTGCAGAGGATGGAACACAAGTACAATACAACAATGTTATAGGATTATTTTTATACGCGCTTCCACACAGAGTGGAAAAGGATCATTTTATCTATTTGTTGGCAAAAAACTTCCCTCATGGGACATTATCTACACAATTGCTGAACAGGATGTATCTGTTGAAGCATTTACAGCTAAATATTGTTATAGAAATTTTCAGGAAAAAATATTTCAAGGAACCAGTAGCTATCTGCTGAACGGGATAACATTGCCTTAGATATTAATTGTAAAAGATATTTGAAAGCTAAATGTATGGCAAACAGATAAATCATCAGATTCTGTAGAGTTAGATTTCAAAATTGCTCATAATATTGTCTTTACATATGAAAACTCTCGAAAATTGGACTGTCAAACACAGATGTTTGCCCAAGTGTGTCTAAGTGAAACAGAAGACATTTTAAATCTCTCTTCATCTATTGCAAAGGTTATCTTCCTTGCAAACAATAGTAATTGAAATGTTGGACCAGATGTGTGCCATGATTCAGGGTTTACCTTTGGACAGCTGTCACTCTGGTTACCCTGTTCGGATTCCTACCAGAAAAGAAATTGTCATATAAACCATTCATAGATATTGTATTGTCAATATATCGTCTGTCTGTGTATTGTTAAAAGGGAGAGTTATAATGACAAGTCACAACACCATCTCATTTGATGTGAGGGCATTATTCAAGACTATGATAAGGCGCCATTTTAGATATTTGCTGTTTAAATATTCGGAAAGTAAATCAATCACGATATCTTCATTCAAAATACATTATGACCAACACATACATGGAGTTGAACGGAAATGAGGTTGTTCCTAAACGATCCGTTAGATTAAGATGCTTTTCACCGTTAAGTATATATATTTCTAAGGAGTAAAACTGTTTTCACTTGGAAATGTGTTGTATAGTCATAAATGCATATTGTTATAAAACTGTACAAAACTATTGAATATCTTTCCTGCCTTTAGAAATGAACTGTTAGTCGCTGCCACCTAAACTCTGTGATAACTCTTTTAAATTTTGGGTGTTAGTGTCAGCACTGTCTGCATCTGTAATAATCTCATCATGTGAATAAATGTTTTAAAGAAAAAAAAAAAAGCGCTCGCTTAGCATGCGAGAGGTACCGGGATCGATACCCGGATTCTCCAGTTCTTTTGCACTTTATTGTTTTGTGAAATAGACTTGTTATTTGTCTCTTTATGAAATGTCATGAACAGGGGACTAGCACACATGACAAGAACGCCCTTTTGCATACGGGAGGCGCTGCACTGATACCCGGATTCGGCAAAAGAAATTCACTTTTCTTTGGGGGCTCAAATATGAACATTGCATTCAGTTGTCTCAGTCCGGTTCTACCCTCTTCACATTTGTTACATGTTCAAATGACATTCTACGAACACACATACACTGACTCCCAAACCTGAAAGCATGTTTTCTCAAAGCTGAAGCAACACATCTGTTACTGTGAGGGACAATCAAGGTCGGCTGTCATGGCGCCAAAGCGGTTCAGCTGATTGGCAAGAATACAGTTAATGAAGACACACCAACGTTATCGTAAGGGGAATTAAGCTCAAATGGTAGAGCGCTCGCTTAGCATGCGAGAGGTACCGGGATCGATACCCGGATTCTCCAGTTCTTTTGCACTTTATAGTTTTGTGAAATAGTCTTGTTATTTGTCTCTTTATGAATGTCATGAACAGGGGACTAGCACACATGACAGAACGCCCCTTTGCATACGGGAGGCGCTCGCACTGATACCCGGATTCGGCAAAAGAAATTCACTCTTTGGGGCTCAAATATGAACATTGCATTCAGTTGTCTCAGTCCGGTTCTACCCACTTCACATTTGTTACATGTTCAAATGACATTCTACGATTGTTCCACACACATACACTGACTCCCAAACCTGAAAGCATGTTTTCTCAAAGCTGAAGCAACACATCTGTTACTGTGAGGACAATCAAGGTCGGCTGTCATGGCGCCAAAGCGGTTCAGCTGATTGTCAAGAATACAGTTAATGAAGACACACCAATGTTCATCGTAAGGGGAATTAGCTCAAATGGTAGAGCGCTCGCTTAGCATGCGAGAGGTACCGGGATCGATACCCGGATTCTCCAGTTCTTTTTGCACTTTATAGTTTTGTGAAATAGTCTTGTTATTTGTCTCTTTATGAATGTCATGAACAGGGGGACTAGCACACATGACAGAACGCCCCTTTTGCATACGGGAGGCGCTCGCACTGATACCCGGATTCGGCAAAAGAAATTCACTTTCTTTGGGGCTCAAATATGAACATTGCATTCAGTTGTCTCAGTCCGGTTCTACCCACTTCACATTTGTTACATGTTCAAATGACATTCTACGCACACACATACACTGACTCCCAAACCTGAAAGCATGTTTTCTCAAAGCTGAAGCAACACATCTGTTACTGTGAGGACAATCAAGGTCGGCTGTCATGGCGCCAAAGCGGTTCAGCTGATTGTCAAGAATACAGTTAATGAAGACACACCAATGTTCATCGTAAGGGGAATTAGCTCAAATGGTAGAGCGCTCGCTTAGCATGCGAGAGGTACCGGGATCGATACCCGGATTCTCCAGTTCTTTTTGCACTTTATAGTTTTGTGAAATAGTCTTGTTATTTGTCTCTTTATGAATGTCATGAACAGGGGACTAGCACACATGACAGAACGCCCCTTTGCATACGGGAGGCGCTCGCACTGATACCCGGATTCGGCAAAGAAATTCACTTTCTTTGGGGCTCAAATATGAACATTGCATTCAGTTGTCTCAGTCCGGTTCTACCCTCTTCACATTTGTTACATGTTCAAATGACATTCTACGCACACACATACACTGACTCCCAAACCTGAAAGCATGTTTTTTCAAAGCTGAAGCAACACATCTGTTACTGTGAGGACAATCAAGGTCGGCTGTCATGGCGCCAAAGCGGTTCAGCTGATTGTCAAGAATACAGTTAATGAAGACACACCAATGTTCATCGTAAGGGGAATTAGCTCAAATGGTAGAGCGCTCGCTTAGCATGCGAGAGGTACCGGCATCGATACCCGGATTCTCCAGTTCTTTTTGCACTTTATAGTTTTGTGAAATAGTCTTGTTATTTGTCTCTTTATGAATGTCACGAACAGGGGGACTAGCACACATGACAGAACGCCCCTTTTGCATACGGGAGGCGCTCGCACTGATACCCGGATTGGGCAAAAGAAATTCACTTTCTTTGGGGCTCAAATATGAACATTGCATTCAGTTGTCTCAGTCCGGTTCTACCCTCTTCACATTTGTTACATGTTCAAATGACATTCTACGCACACACATACACTGACTCCCAAACCTGAAAGCATGTTTTCTCAAAGCTGAAGCAACACATCTGTTACTGTGAGAGGACAATCAAGGTCGGCTGTCATGGCGCCAAAGCGGTTCAGCTGATTGTCAAGAATACAGTTAATGAAGACACACCAATGTTCATCGTAAGGGGAATTAGCTCAAATGGTAGAGCGCTCGCTTAGCATGCGAGAGGTACCGGGATCGATACCCGGATTCTCCAGTTCTTTTTGCACTTTATAGTTTTGTGAAATAGTCTTGTTATTTGTCTCTTTATGAATGTCATGAACAGGGGGACTAGCACACATGACAGAACGCCCCTTTTGCATACGAGAGGCGCTCGCACTGATACCCGGATTGGGCAAAAGAAATTCACTTTCTTTGGGGCTCAAATATGAACATTGCATTCAGTTGTCTCAGTCCGGTTCTACCCTCTTCACATTTGTTACATGTTCAAATGACATTCTACGCACACACATACACTGACTCCCAATCCTGAAAGCATGTTTTCTCAAAGCTGAAGCAACACATCTGTTACTGTCAGGACAATCAAGGTCGGCTGTCATGGCGCCAAAGCGGTTCAGCTGATTGTCAAGAATACAGTTAATGAAAACACACCAATGTTCATCGTAAGGGGAATTAGCTCAAATGGTAGAGCGCTCGCTTAGCATGCGAGAGGTACCGGGATCGATACCCGGATTCTCCAGTTCTTTTTGCACTTTATAGTTTTGTGAAATAGTCTTGTTATTTGTCTCTTTATGAATGTCACGAACAGGGGGACTAGCACACATGACAGAACGCCCCTTTTGCATACGGGAGGCGCTCGCACTGATACCCGGATTGGGCAAAAGAAATTCACTTTCTTTGGGGCTCAAATATGAACATTGCATTCAGTTGTCTCAGTCCGGTTCTACCCTCTTCACATTTGTTACATGTTCAAATGACATTCTACGCACACACATACACTGACTCCCAAACCTGAAAGCATGTTTTCTCAAAGCTGAAGCAACACATCTGTTACTGTGAGGGACAATCAAGGTCGTCTGTCATGGCGCCAAAGAGACACACCAACGTTATCGTCAGGGGAATTAGCTCAAATGGTAGAGCGCTCGCTTAGCATGCGAGAGGTACCGGGATCGATACCCGGATTCTCCAGTTCTTTTTGCACTTTATAGTTTTGTGAAATAGTCTTGTTATTTGTCTCTTTATGAATGTCATGAACAGGGGACTAGCACACATGACAGAACGCCCCTTTGCATACGGGAGGCGCTCGCACTGATACCCGGATTCGGCAAAGAAATTCACTTTCTTTGGGGCTCAAATATGAACATTGCATTCAGTTGTCTCAGTCCGGTTCTACCCTCTTCACATTTGTTACATGTTCAAATGACATTCTACGCACACACATACACTGACTCCCAAACCTGAAAGCATGTTTTCTCAAAGCTGAAGCAACACATCTGTTACTGTGAGGGACAATCAAGGTCGGCTGTCATGGCGCCAAAGCGGTTCAGCTGATTGTCAAGAATACAGTTAATGAAGACACACCAATGTTCATCGTAAGGGGAATTAGCTCAAATGGTAGAGCGCTCGCTTAGCATGCGAGAGGTACCGGGATCGATACCCGGATTCTCCAGTTCTTTTTGCACTTTATAGTTTTGTGAAATAGTCTTGTTATTTGTCTCTTTATGAATGTCATGAACAGGGGGACTAGCACACATGACAGAACGCCCCTTTTGCATACGGGAGGCGCTCGCACTGATACCCGGATTCGGCAAAAGAAATTCACTTTCTTTGGGGCTCAAATATGAACATTGCATTCAGTTGTCTCAGTCCGGTTCTACCCTCTTCACATTTGTTACATGTTCAAATGACATTCTACGCACACACATACACTGACTCCCAAACCTGAAAGCATGTTTTCTCAAAGCTGAAGCAACACATCTGTTACTGTGAGGACAATCAAGGTCGGCTGTCATGGCGCCAAAGCGGTTCAGCTGATTGTCAAGAATACAGTTAATGAAGACACACCAATGTTCATCGTAAGGGGAATTAGCTCAAATGGTAGAGCGCTCGCTTAGCATGCGAGAGGTACCGGGATCGATACCCGGATTCTCCAGTTCTTTTTGCACTTTATAGTTTTGTGAAATAGTCTTGTTATTTGTCTCTTTATGAATGTCATGAACAGGGGACTAGCACACATGACAGAACGCCCCTTTGCATACGGGAGGCGCTCGCACTGATACCCGGATTCGGCAAAAGAAATTCACTTTCTTTGGGGCTCAAATATGAACATTGCATTCAGTTGTCTCAGTCCGGTTCTACCCTCTTCACATTTGTTACATGTTCAAATGACATTGTACGCACACACATACACTGACTCCCAAACCTGAAAGCATGTTTTCTCAAAGCTGAAGCAACACATCTGTTACTGTGAGGACAATCAAGGTCGGCTGTCATGGCGCCAAAGCGGTTCAGCTGATTGTCAAGAATACAGTTAATGAAAACACACCAATGTTCCATCGTAAGGGGAATTAGCTCAAATGGTAGAGCGCTCGCTTAGCATGCGAGAGGTACCGGGATCGATACCCGGATTCTCCAGTTCTTTTTGCACTTTATAGTTTTGTGAAATAGTCTTGTTATTTGTCTCTTTATGAATGTCATGAACAGGGGGACTAGCACACATGACAGAACGCCCCTTTTGCATACGGGAGGCGCTCGCACTGATACCCGGATTCGGCAAAAGAAATTCACTTTCTTTGGGGCTCAAATATGAACATTGCATTCAGTTGTCTCAGTCCGGTTCTACCCACTTCACATTTGTTACATTGTTATGAGAATGTCTTATATATCTATACATAATTCTGTATATATATTTATAAATCTGAAGTCATTCTAAAATATATTTACATTCCCTAAAATACCTGTTCACCTTAATTGAGAAGCTATGCTTACCAGTGACCACTCTCCATTGTCTATTAAGCTGGGGTAATGAAAAACGATGTTATATAATTGTAGCTTGGGTTTTGACTTGTTCAAGCAAGGTAACAAAAAGTGATCAGTGCCCAGGTCGGGAGTGAACGGAATGGATTGGCCATGTCGGCAAGTTTAAAACTATCTACTTAAATATGCCATGTCGGCATAGTGAGATTTCATGTGAAGGATTATATGTGATATTATTCTGAGGAATGTGATGGAGAAGGAACAATTGTATATCCGTGTGATAACCAAAGTAAGACTTTTAACATATACCATGATACTTGTTTTGAACATTTTGTATATATGTATAG